GGTTTACGAGGAGGCTAAAGGGGGCAGCCGGTTAGACGCGCCACCGCCGACCTTTACAGCCGAGACCGCGGCAGTGCCACCTGCGGACTGGCGTGGAACAGATGCCACATTGAGAACGGGTCAGAGCTTTTACAGCCAGGGCAGAGTCAGCGAGGAGGAAAAAGAGCTAGAGTGGGAGAGAGAAAGGGTGAGGGAGATGGCAGTCCATCATTGTGACTGCTTTACTGCTGCTACTGCCATCTAATGACAAGAGCTGTCAGAACACATGGAGAGGGAGGGATGGAGGGAGCGAGCTGCAGAGGGGGAGTAAAACAGATAAATGGATACAATGATAGAGTGAACAGGGGATAAACGCACTGAGGGGGGAGGAGAAAGATGTGGAAAGACTGGTGACACTTGAGTGGATGCTAGCATAAAGAGAGTGGTAGATGTGGTGTGGAGATTTGGAGAAATTGATCGGCGGAAATGGCCTTTGAAGGAAAGATAGTTAACTGGAGTTAACTGGAAATAATTATTTCAATACTGCAAAGATAATCGACTAACACAGTATGGACTCCTCTGCTTGCTCAATAAATGACTGCTCTCCCTTTGTTTGAGGTTATCAGTGTGTGATAGCAGATGTCTAATATGCACATTTTTAAAGAGAAATTGCTCTTAACATACACTCACACACTCTTCTCGGCTCCTGAACAAGTGCTCAGTAATCACCAGTGATTAGTCCACACTTTGATCCAAGGCTCAACACCTAGAATGGCTCTCACACATATTGATTACTCCCGTGTGTGTGTGTGTGTTTGTGTGTTTGTGTGTGTGCGATGAAAAGGGGCTTTTTATCCATGTTGCTGTGTTCTCAAGGAATTGATTTTGAGACAGGGAGATAGATAGAAAAAAGATCACAACAATGAGACTCTTGATGCCCTGGATCTGTTTATTCTTGCTTTACATCAAGGTTAATGCCGTCTTAGACATTTTGTTATTGGACATGTTTTTTCTTCTGTCTCCAGTCCTTTAAGGTGGACTGGTTTTTAAATTGGTTTCCTACCTAGATGGCTTTTAGGTGGCATTCAGTTATTTAAAGGGATGGTTGGGTTTTTACAGTGGAGTGAAATGAGGTACTAATCAATAGCTAATCGTATTACATATAACAGTCAGCTGGCCGGAGTACAAACATGGAAGCTAACTCCTGTTCATAGGTCATAAAAAACACATACTATGGCTAAATTAAAACAGGCCTAGGTTAAAAGTTCCAATTTAGGTGTACACAATATTTTGGGTTATTTTCAGCACTGAAGGCAGAATTCCACTCTGCTTCTCGCCATCCACTGTATTTACTTCTGATATGTCTCCAGATAAAATGAAATTGAAAAAAATCAAATTCAGCCCTTGGAGTTTTACCTTGCAGCTACAGATGTCCCTCTTGTAAATTGTGTTTTACCTTCATGATTTATTTTCTAGTGTCTTATTTTACTGTTTGCTTTTATTTATTTTTCTGACTACGTTTTGACAGAGAACCAGCTGAAATCAGCTTATTAACAAAGGGAAAAGGAAATACTTGTGAGCAATAACTGATGCTTCTCAGTTTCACAGGTTTTGTACCCAAACACCAAACCTTTGTCAGTCTGTGGCTTCTTACAACAAAACATCAGCCCCTCCTTCTCTTTAACCTCACTTCCTCTTTCTTCTCTTTGCCTCTGTGGTTTGTGGTTTCAGCATAACTTTTTTTTGCTCTTGTTTTTCTGCCGTGCACTCTCTGCCCATTCTACTTTCTCTCTCTCCACTTTTTCCTCTTTCTCTGTTTCTCACTGCTTTACCCTGAGGCTATAAGCGCAGACAGATTTGGGGGGGGAAAACAACAACAACCTGAAAGCAATCCCATCTATCTGAGCAGTCAACTTGAATACAAGCCCACACAGCACACACATATACCAGAAAGATATGCAGACAAATGCAAACAGGCATCACAAACAAAACACATGCACACCGTATACTAAGAGGTTTAAACACGGTTTTTATCTCTTTAAATCACAGTGGAGAATAAAGGAGGGAGGAGGTTAGATAAGAGGGAGAAAGAGAAGGGAGGAACAGACAGCAAGAGGAGACAAGGAGTATCAAAGTGAGGAGGAGGATAATGAGAAAGAGTGACCATGAGCCATCCTCCATTTTGAAGCGGTTGTTCCCTCTGCTCCACCTCAGCTGTGATGTAGATGCAACTCGAGTTCAAGTGCTTTTTTCCTCTTAAACACACCTTCATCTCTTAGTCTCCGGCTGTTATCCTCTTGATTTCTTTCTCAGTTTTATCTAGTGTCTTTCCACACACACACACACACACACACACACACACACACACACACACACACACACACACACACACACACACACACACACACACACACACACACACACATCCCAGTCCCCTTCATTTAACCCAACCTTTTTTTTTGTTGTCAAATAATCATGGTGAACTAGCATGTGTCTGACATAGTCTCCAAGGCAACCGCGGTTAAGACGGTAAGGCAGGCGGGGCTCATTCAGAGGCTGAATGAAAGAAGGGGGGAGAGAAGAAGCAACCCACGGTGTGGGACACACACACACACACACACACACACACACACACACACACACACACACACACACACACACACACACACACACACACACACACACACACACACACACACACACACACACACACACAGGCACACACAATAAGAGGGAGAGAAAGAGAAATACACACACTGAACTGAACCACTGTGGGCCACAGTCACGACCGACACCTCTCGGTGCTGCTCTCCTGCTGGGGCCAAGGTTGGAGTCAGGGTTTTTCGGAGGTCACAAGATGCAACACAAACTCACACACAGGGAGGATGAAGAAGAGGGTTAGGGTAAGGATAAGGAGGTAGATGAAGGAGATGGCAGACGGAACTCAGGGGATCTGACAGAAAAAGGCCCAAATAGACAGAGGGAAGGTGAGGAGAATTCCCCTTCAGGATTTGTAATAAAAAGTGTCTTTCCTTATATTTCTTATTGCCTCTAGAATTTCCTATCTCTATTTCTCTCGCTCGCCTTGGTCTTGCTCTCCCTTGCACTGCTCTGTTTGATCCAACCATCACCTTTGGGTGTATAGCAGAGTCAGAGGCAGGCATGTATGGAAAGTACTACATTGAACCCAAACTCTGTCACAACCACATCTCTGTGTTGTTTTTCCTTTTTCTTTATTTTTTCTCTCTCACACAGCAGGCGCTCTGTGGCTTTCACTTGCACATCTCCATTTCAAAACCCTCCTCCTGAACAAGAGAGGAAGGCTCGCAAGACAGAGAAGACACAGCGAAGACTGGAGCCATGCAGAAGAGCAAGTACAGAACAAAAAGGCAACAGTGAAGTGCAGCACATAAAAAAGTGTTTCAATTTGCATGTCAAGGTAAAAGTAAGAAAGTAAAACTGCAGAAAATGCTTCAAATGGTTGAAAACGACTCTTTATATTGTGCTGGTTACAAGCTTCAAGCTGAAGTGGTGACACAGATTTGCTCCTCAGTTTACTCACCTACATCTATACTTATAGTTGTTTGCGTTTGGTGAGACTGCACGGAGAATTCAGTAAACGGAGAAATGTATATCTGTGTTGACTGTTCCCATAACAGATGCTTTAATGGTTAAGAAACACAGTCTGTACATTTTGGTTTCTCTTGGATTACTTATTAAATTTATTGCACAACTTAAAACCTTCCTATAAAACCCTCAACCTTGCTTTGCATTACTAAGACACATTAACTGTAACAACGTGCATTCAATCAAAACTAATAAAACTAGTTTAGAATGTGAAAGAGGAATTTGGTGAAATGGTGAAATGTCAGGGACAAAACCACAGCGATGTTGTTAATGGTCTAACTGCACACTGTACCTGCTGACTAAAGCACATACATAATTCATGGCAGCTAAGTGTAGCCACTTCTACTGCAGGGAGACAACAATCACACACACATGAAAACACACACTGGCCAGAGGACAGGCACCCTTTGAAAGGATGTTAGATTTAAAATTAAACAGACTGTCAACAGCAATAAGCATGTGCGAGTTCAATGCGGGGAGAGTTCTGAATCAGCCATCTCTGCATGCATTTGGCACAGTGTGGTGCATCTATTTTTGTCAGCTTCACAGGTGTTTAAGTGAGGTGCAAGGGCAACATGAATATACACGAATACACAAAAATAGAAACAGAAATATGGTAGATTTAACTGGAAAACAGGGTACTGGCAGATTATTATCGTCTTCTTAAGGTCCTGTCTCTTCATTCTCCCTGTCTGTCACTCTCTCTCCCTGCCCTCTCTTGGTCGTCCTCTCCACAATCAGCGCCCAGTGAGCCGTGAGACGCACTTAAGCGCCGACCGGCAGTAACCTCACGCTGCCCTTGTACTCACTCATTTTCACACACACACACACACACACACACACACACACACACACACACACACACACACACACACACACACACACACACACACACACACACACACACACACACACACACACACACACACACACACACACACACACACAAAAAAGTCCTAACACACATGTATGCATGCTTGCGTGCACAGTCACCGGTACAGACACAAAGACACACAGCTGCAGTTAAACAGATCTAACATGAACAAAACCATACATTTGCCTCGCTCCTATATTCGCCGTGTGGCTATGCTGAATAAAACACACGCTGCCACTTAGCGTCCCAGTATACCTGCTGACTTCTTCGCTGATAAAGGGCTGAGAGCTTAGAGAAACAGAGTGAGAGCTTCTGTCACACAGCATTACAAGCCCTGGATCTCAGGTTCCAACCTCAGGACCAGCAGCACAAAGACAAGCGTCTCCTCAGATGCACTCTGGAGCTCAAATCTCAAACACTCATGGTCACTTTTTAAACACACATACAAGTATATTTTTAAAACATGAAAACACACAAAAATGACATTTTATTTCCTCAAACAGGATTGTTATTTGCTTACCTGGCAAGTAGTAAAGTGGTGCTTTTAGTCCAAACATGGTTACTGATTAAGAGTCATGAAGAGAGAGGAACTTGTGTGAGATGTGTAGGCAGCTTCCTGTCCTGGATGACTGAGCGAGAGAGGGGCTGTGCCCTCACAGCCACCCAGAAACGAGGATCTGTGTGTGGGGAAGCTGGGCTGGGACTCAGCCTGTCATCCCTGCTCTCTAGTCCTCGCTAACCAAGCGTGAGGCTGGGACCGCCCAGCCAGCTAGGACACACACATGCACACACACACAGACAGTCACACAGATACACACAGACAGAGCGGTGCACGGGTCAACCCCCTGAGCACACCCCCGCTCTCGACCCCCTAGCTCTCGCTCCTGATCCCTCTGGGCGAAGGGTCACACACACACACACTCTCGCTGTTCGTTTTTAAAAAGCAGCAAAGGCAGAGTGCTTCCTCTGACTCTTTCTTACGCGCACACACGAACACACACACAGGGAGACGGGACAGCCGGAGAGATGTAAAAGCTTGCAGTCCAGTGCCAAGAAGAGGTGAAAGGAGGCAAGAGGGAGGATAAAATACAGGCTTGGTAAATCCTGCAGACGAGAGCGACGACTGAATCCAGGGACTGTCTTTTATCCCTCTATCCAAGAAAGATGATCAGAGGAGAAGCGCTCTGCTTCCTCCGCTACTGCTGCCACTCTCTCTCTCTGTGTGTTTCTCGCTCTCTCATTTTCTCACCCTCCCTTTTTTCACCCTCTCTTTCACGCTGATACGGAGAGAGAAGGAGGTGGAGGAGAGGAGGAGAGAAGGAGGGCAGAATGAACTCCCTGCAGGCAACAACACAGCCAGATAGCAAGAAAGGGTGTGTATGTGTGTTTGCGTGTATGTGTGTGTGTATGTATGTGTGATTGCGCGTGTGTGTGTGTGTGTGTGTGTGTGTGTGTGTGTGTGTGTGTGTATTTGTGTGTGTGCTAAGGGGGTGGTGTTGGTGTTAGAGGAAACGGAGAAAGAAGAAGCAAGGGTGCAGATGAGGGAGGGAATAACACTGTCCGGTGCGGATGCTTCAGCAGAGGAGGAGAGTGGTCACAGTTCAGTTTGAAGTCAGGGTGGCAGCTGATTGGCCGGCCCTGGTGACAGCAAGAGGCCTCGAATATCAAGGGAGCATCTGTTCACACTGTTTCAGACAGTAGGAAAGTAAAAAGCAGTGGATAGTGCAGGGATGAGAGTGCTGGGTCTTCAAGGGCAGCTCACAATAGAACAGCTACGTGTATGGAAGAGGAGAATCTAAAAGATCCCCCGCCTCCGTTCTTTCCTCTGAAAATAAGAGTCCTCCTCATCTCTGTCTGCGAGTGTGTGGGTGCGTTTGTGTGTCCGTCTAGGAAAACTTGGCTTGTGCAGCCTAGCGCACAGACTGCTCAGCATGCTGCGCTGACAGCAGACTTCCCCCCCTTCTCTCTCTCTCTCTTCATCACACACACATGAATAAACACACAAACCTGAATGTGACGGTGGCAGCACACGGGTGAGGAGTTAACTATCTTTTGGGATGCGGCCATCCCAAACAAAACCCAGAAAACAGCAGGAGAAGGGGGCAAGAGGGAGAAAGAAAGTAGGAGAAAGGGAGAAATGATGGGGAAATAGTCACGCAGGACAGTTTACCCCGAGGGTCGACTTGCTCTCGAGCCCATTCTGTGAGACTCACAGCAGGGGAGAAAGAGCGAGGGGAAGGGCAGGAGGAGGAAGACAGGAGTTTAGCGAGGAAGAGGAAGGAGGCAGATTGAGGGGTCCTAAACTCCAAAAAACAAGCACAACAAGCACAGTGAGAAGGAGTGGGAGGCATGCTCACAGGCAAATGGGTTAAATAACCGCTAATAGGGACTGATGATTGAAGGAAGAAGAGACACAGGCAGAAGGAGAGAGCAACGGGAGGGGAGTCCATAGATCGAAGGATAAGGAGGGAGATAGAGGGGGAGGGGGGAGGGGGAGTCATTCCATGAACAAAGCCCTTTTTTATTTATACAAAGACAGGAAATCTGCAAATGTTTAATTAAGACCAGTGTGTGTGTGTGTGTGTGTGTGTGTGTGTGTGTGTGTGTGCTATAATGACAAATAAGAGGGCTTTTGCAAGACCCTTCATGCTTGTATTACAGTATGTGCTGTGCCGATTGTGTGCAAACAACACTCATTATCATCGCTGGAAGGCATGTGTGTGCTTCTGTGTGGTTTTTGCACAGGTGTGTTTGTGTGTGAGGTAGGTGTTGAAGTGTCTCACACCTTGTGAGACAGGTTGGGAGGTGATGTGTCCCCCCCTGAGGTGCTGCTACACGACCAAGTCTGATGACAATATGACAGACAGAGACAAAGACTAAAAATACAGAAAAAGATTTCGCATTAGGTGGACAAGATGAAGAAGGACAGGAAAAATAGATTAATAATTGTCACAGGTGCAGTGCATATCTTTAACAGAATGATCTGTAAGATTCAAGAGCGGTGCTGACTAAATTCATGTTAATGTTTTCAGAGGAAACTTACATTTTCTGCATCTGTAACACTGTGCATCGTTGGTGGTTTTACCAGCGGTAATGGCTTTTTTGTTTGAAATATTTTTTTTGAGGAACGTGTTTCTTTTGATTTCTTTGTAATTTTCTGAGGTTGCACATCGTCATTTCCAAACTTTTAAAGATCTCCCCACAAAGTTCCTCTTTTTTAGTATGAGGTCCTTTCTTGCTTTGTTCATCAATGCTCAATGTTCATGCTCAAGAACCGAGTGATTTATCTGCTTGTACAGCAAGTTATAAATCCAGGTTGTCCAATATAGACGCTTTGTACAAGTTATCTTGTCTGTTTGGTGTCATACACACTCAGTGGTTTACAACAAACAGCTGATTTGGTTCAGTTCAGAAAAAAATGAAAAAAAAACAACAACACGGATTACAACAACAACTAACTAACTACTGCCCCTCACCCTCAAGCTGACATTATTGTTCTTCCTACTCTGTCACTTTCGGGAAGTTTTTTCTATGATTGTAATCTTGTGAGAAGGTGTTGGCCTCAACATATGAAAGATTGTGAGTTTCATTTCCAGTGATGGGTTGCAAAGAGAGTGTAGGGCGTTATTGAGAGGAAAATGTCACAGGGAGTAGCCTTACAATTAAACCACAAGTGTCAAGCCGTTCAGTAATAGAAGTGGACATTGACAGATAATGAAAACAAATCTTTCTTCTTTTTTTTTTAATCTTACTGCTTACTAAAGGAAAAGTAATGCTAGAAAACCGCTATCATCCTCAGATCCTCCTCATCCTCCTTTAAGGTTGGTGTATTGATTCACATTTGACAAGTGCACTGCCGAAGAAAACACGTACGACACCACACACACCACACACACACACACACACACACACACACACAGCACACACACACACACACACACACACACACACACACACACACACACACACACACACACACACAGGCATGCTGTTACACACACCCTGAAAGACTATAAAAGCTCCCTGGGGAACAAGGCGATGTGTGTGTGACTGAAAACACTGTGATCAAGAGGTAACAGAGAGCTCGAGAGGAGAGGGGAAGGAAGATGGGAAGAACAAAACAAGTGAAAAAGAGGGTGTTAGAAAAAATCTAGAAAAGACAGATGAAAACAGGAGTGAAGGGAGGGCACAGCAGCTGACAAAGACGGGGATCAAGACAGAAGGAGAGAAGGAGAGGGAGAGAGAGAGACAGATTGTGTGTGTGTATGTGAGAGAGAGAGAGAGAGAAAGAGAGAGAGAGAGGAAAGGAGCACATACACAAACATATAAACCTGCTATACTTACTTCCAGTCAACCCCCCGAACAATTGTCTTCCCTACCCCCCCTATAAATATAATCACTCCCTCAATCGCTGTGAGTGTGTGTGTGTACAGTAGGTGTGTGTGTGTTTGTGTGTGTTTGGAATGGATTGAAAGATGGTCTGTCTTCTTCCACAGCAGGGGAAGCAAAGATAACGCATTACTATAATCTTTCCCCACCACACACAGCCTCTGGAGCTGCACAGACCCACACCAACAATCACAGACGAAACACGCTTAAATACTTTAAACTCTGACTTGATGAAACAGGTCAGTTCTCCAGAGCAGGTGTGGGATTCTCAGAGAGACAGATGAAGAGAATCTGGGTGTGTCACAAGAAAAAAAAAAATGCCATCCCAAAATTAATGTTTTGATGTGTTATGTATTGGTCTTACAGTATGTCAGGCTGATTCAGTTACTTTTATAGAGCGACCATAATTGCTTAACACAAGTAAAGCACCAAGGTGTCAGCCATCTACTATATGTTTTCTTTAAGTCCTGTAGGGTTAAGAATTTAAAAGTGTAAACACTGCACCTTTTTAATCCTAGACGAGAAGTTGATTGGTTTATCAACTATCTAATGAACTTTAAAAAAACAAGTATTTTAACTATCTTAAATACCCTCTGCTTAAACAGCCTGGTTTAAAACTCTTTACTTTAATATGCATTTCTGTGTAATACACTAGATGTTTTCATATAGATTTTGTCAACACTGACACCACAAAGCGGGACTCTTTTTTAAGGTACAGTATGTGTCGCTATGTATCAAATCTGACTAGATATGATATCTCATCAACCGTCACTAACCCCCATTTGCAGAGACCCACACCCGCTCCACTATTACAAACACCCATTTAGCCTGACCCCTCGCTGGTGATTAGAAGCCTGTGAAGTGTGTGTGAGCACATGTTCGTGTGTGTGTGTGTGGGGGGGGGGTCTTTGTGTGTGAGATGCTTCTCTCCGTATGCTAATCATAGCCTAGCACTGAGAATTAATTTGCAAATGTGTCATTACCCATCAGGCTCAACAGCAATAACCCTGCAATTATACAACTCTCGCCTGGCCAGCTGAGCACCACACACGTGCGCGCGGGCAGGCAAATGTATGTGCACACAAGTGAACACAGCCACACATACACTCACATGCTGCTCCTACCAAAGAGAACCAAAAAACTCAGATTTAAAGATGTATTTGTCTGTACACCCATAGAGAAAAAGGTATACTTTGCAAACCAACTGATATTGTGTGTGTAATCGCAACTCCTAACCTCAGTGTCAACAGGACGACACCAAGGTCAGCTGAGCACTTTCACACACTCCTGTTTCTTAGCAACATTATCCAGGAGTGTGGCCTCTCTAGGAACCTCAGAGGCATCGCACACACAACGCCTTCAGACAACAGATAACTGAGCAATGCATGTGTGGATGTGTGTGTGTGTGTGTGTGTGTCTGTTGCTACATGAGTTTAAGCACTTACCTGTGAAGCAAGGGGTCAGGATCAGAGGTGAAGTGTGCAGCAGCCGTGAGGAGGAGGAGGAGGACGATCGACATGAAAAAGAAAAGAAGAAAATACAAAGCTGTGAGGATAAATACATTATATTGAACTTTCAGCAGAAAGGTATGCTGCAAGCACATAAATGAAAGAAAAATCCTCAATTCAATAGTGGACTAACATAAAACAGGCCCCTACATGTCATTGAATAGTGGGATGACAATGAAAATATCTGAAGTATCTGCAATAGTCCATGGTTCATTTATCGGACCTTAATCTTGCAGAACACCTAGAAACCTTCTGAAACCAGA